AGTTACTTAGGGCTGAGACTGGCTTTGAACTCAAAATCCTCCTGCCTCAACCTCTAGAGCCACTGGGATTACAGGCATGCACCACTGTACCCAGCTAAAGTACCTCATTTATAAAAGGGGAACGATAAGACCACCATGTGGGACTATCAAGTGGACAGAAGGAGATAATATCAAAAGTGCCAGGGACCTGGCATATGGTAGGCACTTGGGTAACAAATGTATCATTGGTCAGCTCTTATCATCAGTGGGCATGGATTAAAACATTTTATTTCATTAAATATGTATTCAATAAATTTATAACAATATAGTGCAGTCATTTGTATTAGTTTAAATAATAAGTATCTTTTATTGAACTCCCACCAAGTGCTAGGTACTGACATACTTATGCAATCTTCCCAAAATTTCTGAAAGAAAGACAAGTCTGGTCCACAATCCCAAAATCCAAAAAAAAAAAAAAAAAAAAGATAATAAAAGTCTAAAAAGTGCTAAAACTTGAAAGTTTTTTTTTTTCATCAGTCATTTGGTACCAAAACTCTCACCTTCCCTGAACTGATGAGGAGAAGACTATTGATAGTCTTTTTTCTATCCCATTATAGTATAAATATATTTTGCCTCAAAAATATTAACATATTCCCCTAACTCTACTGGGGAGAAGGGTTATGCAGATTCTACATCTAAGAAATCCTGAATTCTGAAACTCATCTGCTTCTAGGATTTGGGAAAAGAAATGGGCCTGTATTAGCATTTAAAAAAAAGCAGTAGCTGAGACTTTCCAAGGGTTCCCATTACTCAAGTTCAAATGAATGAGCAGTAGAACTAGGAACTTGAACTCACGACTGTTTGATTTAAAGTCGCCACTGGCCACATCTGTTAGTGAAAATTCATGATTATTATATTTTACTAGATAAAGCRAAGGTTACCTAGGAGTCCCCATTCACTCTCCATACACAGAAACTTTCAGTGTCTTAGAATCTGTCTTCCTTCTTACCCAAGGTTATATAACTCATTACTGATGCCCAAAGCCTTTTTGTTTTTTAACCTGAATTTATTAAAGCCTTTAAACCTAACAATTGATTGTTCTAGGTAGGAACTGGTTGGAAACAATGTCAGTGTCATAAAAACAGTTATGTAGATTTTAAGTATACCTTTTTAAAGTTTTTAAAATTTATTTATTTAAGTATATATGACAGCAGAACTCATTTTGATTCATTGTAYACAACTGCAGCACAACTTTTCATTTTTCTGTTATAGGATGTAGCATCGCACCATATGTGCAGTCATAAATATACTTAGGGTAATGATGCCCATCTCATTCCACCATCTTTCCTACCCCCACACATCCTCCGCACCTCTCCCTCCCTTTTGTCCAAAGTTCCTCTATTTTTTTCCATGCCCCACCCCACCCTCCACCATTATGGATCAACATCCACTTATCAGAGAACATTTGGCCTTTGTTTTTTTGGGATTGGTTTACTTCACTTAGCATGATATTCTCCAACCCCATCCATTTACCTACAAATGCCATGATTTTATTCTCTTTTATTGCTGAGTAATATTCCATTGTGTATATATGCCACAGTTTCTTTATCCAT